AGTTGCCCAATTGCTGGAAAAAGGCAAATGTTGTATCAATTTTCAAAAAAGAAGATAGGGAAGAGGCACTTAACTTCAGACCAGTATCACTGACAAGTATCCCCTGTAAAGTACTTGAAAGAATAATCAGGTTAAGACCTGATTATTGATCAGATTGGTTACGCACCTAGAGAACATTAGGTATGAAAACAAACACCAACATGGGGTAAGAAAAGGCAAATCATGCCTAACAAACCCTCTGGAATTCTATGATAAAGTAACAAGAATAAGGTAGGACAGAGAAGAATGGGCATACTGCATATTTCTGGACTGAAAAAAACTTTGACAGTACTGTAAAGGAGACTGCTATTCAAACTTGAGAGGCAGGTGGGAGTAAGCGGTAAAGCCCTAGAATGGGTAAAGAATTACTTAACAGGACGGAGCCAGAGAGGAACAGTAAGGAGCGAGACGTCGGACTGGCGAACAGTAACGAGAGCAGTACCTCAAGGAACGGCGCTGGGATCACTTCTATTTCTAAAATACGTGAACGACATGTCTACAGAAGTCGAGTGTTAAATGTTAATGTTCGTGTATGATGCGAAATTAATGAAAAGAGTTAAGACAAATGAGGATTGTTGGATCCTCCTAGAGGACTTAAACAAGCTGCAGAGATGGTTAGAGAAATGGCTACTGGAATTCAACACGAGCAAGCCTAAAGTTTTGGAAATGGGACTTAAGTGATAGGAGACCAAAGGGACAGTACACAATGAAGGGGAACTACCTACCGGTGACGGTTCAAAACAAGAGACCTGAGAGGCAAAAGTTAGAAAGTCAGGAGAACGTCTGCTCCTTCCCTTGTCCCTGCTCCTCCCCTTCCCCCTGCTCCTCCCCTTGTACCTATTCCTTCCCTTGTCCCTGCTCCTCTCCTTGTCCCTGCTCCTTCCCTTATCCCTACTCCTTCCCTTGTCCCTACTCCTCTCCTTGTCCCTGCTCCTCCCCTTGTCCCTGCTCCTTCCCTTGTCCCTACTCCTCCCCTTGTCCCTACTCCTTCCCTTGTCCCTGCTCCTCCCCTTGTCCCTGTTCCTCCTCTTGTCCCTACTCCTTCCCTTGTCACTACTCCTCCCCTTGTCCCTGCTCCTCCCTTTGTCCATACTCCTTCCCTTGCCCCTACTCCTTCCCTTGTCCCTGCTTCTTCACTTGTCCCTGATCTTCCCCTTGTTCCTGCTCCTCCCCTTGTCCCTGCTCCTTCCCTTGTCCCTACTCCTCCCCTTGTCCCTACTCCTCCCCTTGTCCCTGCTCCTCCCCTTGTCCCTACTCCTTCCCTTGTCCCTACTCCTTCCCTTGTCCCTGCTCCTTCACTTGTCCCAGATCCTCCCCTTGTCCCTGATCCTCCCCTTGTCCCTGCTCCTCCCTTTGTCCCTACTCATCCCCTTGTCCCTGCTCCTCCCTTTGTCCCTGATCCTCCCCTTGTCCCTGATACTCCCCTTCTCCCTGTTCCTCTCCTTGTCCCTGATGCTCCCTTTGTCCCTGCTCCTCCCTTTGTCCCTGTTCCTCCCCTTGTCCCTGATCTTCCCCTTGTCCCTGATCTTCCCCTTGTCCCTGCTCCTTCACTTGTCCCTGCTCCTCCCCTTGTCCCTGCTCTTCCCCATGTCCCTGTTCCTCCCCTTGTCCCTACTCCTTCCCTTGTCCCTACTCCTTCCCTTGTCCCTGCTCCTTCACTTGTCCCAGATCCTCCCCTTGTCCCTGATCCTCCCCTTGTCCCTGCTCCTCCCTTTGTCCCTACTCATCCCCTTGTCCCTGCTCCTCTCTTTGTCCCTGATCCTCCCCTTGTCCCTGATACTCCCCTTCTCCCTGTTCCTCCCCTTGTCCCTGATCTTCCCCTTGTCCCTGATCGTTCCCTTTGTCCCTGCTCCTCCCCTTGTCCCTGCTCCTCCCCTTGTCCCAACTCTTCCCCTTGTCCCTGATCGTTCCCTTTGTCCCTGCTCCTCCCCTTGTCCCTGCTCCTCCCCTTGTCCCTGATCGTTCCCTTTGTCCCAGCTCCTCCCCTTTTCCCTGATCCTCCCCTTGTCCCTGCTCCTCCCCCTGTCCTTGCTCCTCCCCTTGTCCCTGCTCCTCCCCTTGTCCCTACTCTTCCCCTTGTCCCTACTCCTCCCCTTGTCCCTGCTCCTCCCCTTGTCCCTGCTCCTCCCCTTGTCCCTGATCGTTCCCTTTGTCCCTGCTCCTCCCCTTGTCCCTGCTCCTCCCCTTGTCCTTGCTCCTCTTCTTGTCCCTGCTCCTCCCCTTGTCCCTGCTCCTCCCCTTGTCCCTGATCTTCCCCTTGTCCCTGATCCTCCCCTTGTCCCTGATCCTCCCCTTGTCCCTGCTCCTCCCCTTGTCCCTGATCTTCCCCTTGTCCCTGATCCTCCTCTTGTCCCTGGTCTTCCCCTTGTCCCTGCTCCTCTCCTTGTCCCTGATCTTCCCCTTGTCCCTGATCCTCCCCTTGTCCCTGCTCCTCCCCTTCTCCCTGGTCTTCCCCTTTTCCCTGGTCTTCCCCTTGTCCCTGCTCCTCTCCTTGTCCTTGATCTTCCCCTTGTCCCTGATCTACCCCTTGTCCCTGATCCTCCCCTTGTCCCTGCTCCTTCCCTTGTCCCCTGATCCTCCCCTTGTCCCTGATCTTCTCCTTGTCCCTGCTCCTCCCCTTGTCCCTGATCTTCCCTTGTCCCTGATCCTCCCCTTGTCTCTGTTCCTCCCCTTGTCCCTGCTCCTCCACTTGTCCCTGATCTTCCCCTTGTCCCTGATCCTCCCCTTGTCCCTGATCTTCCCCTAGTCCCTGATCCTCCTCTCTGTTCCCTTACCCGTAATCCTCCAGGCTAGACGAGGTGACTCCAGCATCCAGTATTCTCTTGGTGTATCGGCAGAGCATCGTGTATTCTCTCTACACTCTCCCTCTCTCCCCGCTCTCCCCAGCTTCACTACTACACCCCAGCATCGTGTATTCTCTCTACACTCTCCCTCTCACCCCGCTCTCCCCACCTTCACTACTACACCCCAGCATCGTGTATTCTCTCTACACTCTCCCTCTCACCCCGCTCTCCCCACCTTCACTACTACACCCCAGCATCGTGTATTCTCTCTACACTCTCCCTCTCTCCCCCGCTCTCCCCAGCTTCACTACTACACCCCAGCATCGTGTATTCTCTCTTCACTCTCCTCTCTCCCCACCTTCACTACTACACCCCAGCATCGTGTATTCTCTCTACACTCTCCCGCTCTCCCCACCTTCACTACTACACCCCAGCATCGTGTATTCTCTCTTCACTCTCCCTCTCTCCCCACCTTCACTACTACACCCCAGCATCGTGTATTCTCTCTACACTCTCCCGCTCTCCCCACCTTCACTACTACACCCCAGCATCGTGTATTCTCTCTACACTCTCCCTCTCACCCCGCTCTCCCCACCTTCACTACTACACCCCAGCATCGTGTATTCTCTCTACACTCTCCCTCTCACCCCGCTCTCCCCAGCTTCACTACTACACCCCAGCATCGTGTATTCTCTCTACACTCTCCCTCTCTCCCCACCTTCACTACTACACCCCAGCATCGTGTATTCTCTCTACACTCTCCCTCTCACCCCGCTCTCCCCACCTTCACTACTACACCCCAGCATCGTGTATTCTCTCTACACTCTCCCTCTCACCCCGCTCTCCCCAGCTTCACTACTACACCCCAGCATCGTGTATTCTCTCTACACTCTCCCTCTCTCCCCGCTCTCCACACCTTCACTACTACACCCCAGCATCGTGTATTCTCTCTACACTCTCCCGCTCTCCCCACCTTCACTACTACACCCCAGCATCGTGTATTCTCTCTTCACTCTCCCTCTCTCCCCACCTTCACTACTACACCCCAGCATCGTGTATTCTCTCTACACTCTCCCGCTCTCCCCACCTTCACTACTACACCCCAGCATCGTGTATTCTCTCTACACTCTCCCGCTCTCCCCACCTTCACTACTACACCCCAGCATCGTGTATTCTCTCTACACTCTCCCTCTCACCCCGCTCTCCCCACCTTCACTACTACACCCCAGCATCGTGTATTCTCTCTACACTCTCCCTCTCTCCCCGCTCTCCCCACCTTCACTACTACACCCCAGCATCGTGTATTCTCTCTACACTCTCCCTCTCTCCCCACCTTCACTACTACACCCAGCATCGTGTATTCTCTCTACACTCTCCCTCTCTCCCCGCTCTCCCCACCTTCACTACTACACCCCAGCATCGTGTATTCTCTCTACACTCTCCCTCTCACCCCGCTCTCCCCACCTTCACTACTACACCCCAGCATCGTGTATTCTCTCTACACTCTCCCTCTCACCCCGCTCTCCCCACCTTCACTACTACACCCCAGCATCGTGTATTCTCTCTACACTCTCCCTCTCTCCCCACCTTCACTACTACACCCCAGCATCGTGTATTCTCTCTACACTCTCCCGCTCTCCCCACCTTCACTACTACACCCCAGCATCGTGTATTCTCTCTACACTCTCCCTCTCACCCCGCTCTCCCCACCTTCACTACTACACCCCAGCATCGTGTATTCTCTCTACACTCTCCCTCTCACCCCGCTCTCCCCAGCTTCACTACTACACCCCAGCATCGTGTATTCTCTCTACACTCTCCCTCTCACCCCGCTCTCCCCACCTTCACTACTACACCCCAGCATCGTGTATTCTCTCTACACTCTCCCTCTCACCCCGCTCTCCCCACCTTCACTACTACACCCCAGCATCGTGTATTCTCTCTACACTCTCCCTCTCTCCCCGCTCTCCCCACCTTCACTACTACACCCCAGCATCGTGTATTCTCTCTACACTCTCCCGCTCTCCCCACCTTCACTACTACACCCCAGCATCGTGTATTCTCTCTTCACTCTCCCTCTCTCCCCGCTCTCCCCACCTTCACTACTACACCCCAGCATCGTGTATTCTCTCTTCACTCTCCCTCTCTCCCCGCTCTCCCCACCTTCACTACTACACCCCAGCATCGTGTATTCTCTCTACACTCTCCCTCTCACCCCGCTCTCCCCACCTTCACTACTACACCCCAGCATCGTGTATTCTCTCTACACTCTCCCTCTCACCCCGCTCTCCCCACCTTCACTACTACACCCCAGCATCGTGTATTCTCTCTAGACTCTCCCTCTCACCCCGCACTCCCCACCTTCACTACTACACCCCAGCATCGTGTATTCTCTCTACACTCTCCCTCTCACCCCGCACTCCCCAGCTTCACTACTACACCCCAGCATCGTGTATTCTCTCTACACTCTCCCTCTCTCCCCACCTTCACTACTACACCCCAGCATCGTGTATTCTCTCTTCACTCTCCCTCTCATCCCGCTCTCCCCAGCTTAACTACTACACCCCAGCATCGTGTATTCTCTCTACACTCTCCCTCTCACCCCACCCTCACTACTACACCCCAGCATCGTGTATTCTCTCTACACTCTCCCTCTCACCCCGCTCTCCCCACCTTCACTACTACACCCCAGCATCGTGTATTCTCTCTACACTCTCCCTCTCACCCCGCTCT